CATGATTAATGTGCATTTAAATGTCAAAAATTGCTTGACAGGTATGGCTCCTGGGGTGTTTGCTTTACTTATGGGACATGGTTTGGGATATTAGGTCTGATCGCTGCTGGGCGAAACTTCAGCAATTGCTCTAGCATCCGTGAAGCTAGTGATTTTCTGTTGTCTAAACAGCTTCCTTCTGGTGGTTGGGGAGAGAGCTATCTTTCATGTCAGAACAAGGTTGATGTTATATACAGTAATATCTTACTCATTTCAATGATTGCTTGTTTTTTCCTTTTCCTTTCTTTTGGTGTTAGTACATTTGGCCGGTGTTTCATGTTTATTATAAACTATTTATAAAAACTCAAGCCACTTTTTATCCACACATTTCGAGGATTCTTCATTCATTTCTATCTATTTATATTTAAACTGTTTTTAAGCACTTCCCAAACATGCTCTTAGTCTTATTTCTTTAGCAAAAAGTGTCTAGGGCCACTTTAGGAGATACTGTTTCGATAACTTCCAGCACTTAACCAACAACAGAACAGACTCAACTGATTATGTCATTTGAACTTGTTTATTTTCATTACTCAATGGTTTTTGGTACTCTTTAGACAAAACAAAAGAAGAAATAAAGGATAAAATACATAATATTTTTCCCGTGAAATGCATAAAATAAGAAACTTAACATAATAGAAATTATTGCTGGCATTTGTGGTACAAGCATATTTCAATATTAATTGTCTCTGATGCCCCCTTCCTGAAATGTTCTCAATGCCAAATAAATCATTGGCTATGTTTTATCTTTATATAGGTATATTCAAATTTAGAAGGCAACAGGTCTCATGTGGTAAATACAGGATGGGCTGTGTTGGCTCTTATTGCTGCTGGGCAGGTACTTATAGACCACAATAATCAACTGGAATGCTTGAGGTCTCTTATTTTTGTATTTTTGGGGGGATTGTGTTCAGGATGGACTGATTTGCTTAGTTTTATGCTTGCCAAAGTCAACAATCAATACAGGAAAAAAGAGTTTACAGTTTCATTCACAGGGAGTTTAAGGATATTGAACATAATTCATTTTTGAATGGTCTTATTTATCTCGTAAAAAGTTGATTAAGCTAACGGACTTGTAAAAGACTGTCTTTTCACATCCTTTTTTTTATATGCCTGAGCACGTTCTGCAGATGTCAATTTGTTTCTTGTACCTCATTTTTATGGTATTTGTTTTATCACTACAATTTTCTTGATGAACCAAGATACAGCTCAGTGCTCATTTTGACTTAATCTATGACATTAGTTCTTTCCTTGGTCAGCAAGATTCCGTGTCAAATTATTGATGTGATCATCATTTCACTGCCTATGCATTGCCTTCTATTTCCAAGTTGTCTTCAATATCACAAACAAATTAATTTCTTCATTTATCTTTACTCTGCAGGCAGAGAGGGATCCTGCACCGTTGCACCGTGCAGCAAAACTCCTAATAAATTCTCAATGTGAAAATGGTGATTTTCCCCGGGAGGTAATTCTGTTAACTTGCAGCCTAAGTTATTGCTGAGCTGAAATATTTTGATTTGTACATAACTATAGTCTTAATTAGTGAATAATGTACAATATATGTGTAATGCACATGTACTAATAATCAATAGAATTCTTGTTTACCATATGTGGTGTGGTAATATCTCGCTATGAGTAAAACAAAACATGATAAATGTTATACTAAGATGAAATATCTAATTTCCTTAATTAACAGTACAATTAACGATTTCTCCTCACAAATTTTTTCCTTTTCTACCATCGTCTTTTTTTCAGGAGATCATGGGAGTCTTCAATAAGAATTGCATGATCACTTTTGCTACATACAGGAATATATTCCCGATTTGGGCTTTGGGAGAATATTGTAATCGGGTTCTGAAACACCATGAATAAGAATTGATGTGGACATATGTTCTTGGTACTTGGGATAGTAGAAATTCTCCACTTCAGAATAAACCATCCGTTCTTTTCAGTTGTGAGATTAGCAATATCAAGATTTTGATTCTATATTGGGGTGTGGAGTATATGTTAGATGTTTCATTACAAGTTAATTGTCCCAATGGTCACTGAACTTGAATATGTCGAGATTTGGTCACTAAACTTTCTCAAATGTTGGACGTTGCTCACAAAGTTAGCTTTCATTTCTAACCCCTAACGGCAACGGTGACATGGCTAATGAATTGTCTAAGTGGCGCCACATTGCTGTTATCTTTTTTACTGAAGTAAAAAAAATGTCTTCAATTACTCACCAAACTTTGACAAATGTCTTTGATTGCTCACTGAACTTTAAAAAATATTTTTGATTACTCGCTATACTTTAAAAAACGTATTCGACTACTCACCGAACTTTGAAAGTGGTTGAGTATTAACTATTGAGCTTATGAAAATGCAGATTATGTTGTTATTAATTCTCTTAAAATAATATTGGTAGGTTTGTATTTACGTCCATAATTCTAATGGAAATTTTAGTCCATTTTTTCATTTGAATTCATATTGTCACGAACAACCATAAAATATCAACGTACAATTTATAGTACAAATATGATCTGCTATGGTTAAAGTAATTTTTCACCTAAAATGTCTCCTCTTTTTACCCTTACCATCCCCTGCAGCCTCTATAAATTAGGTATATATGATAAGTGTAATTTGTGTACTTATTTAGACCATTTTATTAACATTTATGTCGTGAAATTATTGAATTTTATTTAGTTTGGGTTAATTTTTGTTCGTTTTAGTGTTCGACCCGTTTTGAAGCATTTGGAAAATGATGAAAGATTAATTGGCTATTTGATGCAAAGTTTGGAGATCAAATTCCGCACTTTGAAATTTGAAGACTTGGAGAAATAATACCTTATTTTGGGCCTTGGACCAATTGATAAAATGGAAGGAATTAATTTGGACTTGGATTTATTTTAGAGGAAATTACAGAATCCTAGTGCAAGAGTCAGGTTCCAAAGTTGTTTATGCAAGTGTTAGGTTTCAATTTAATTGTTATATATTTAAATATTAAATTAAAACACAATAGAAGCCAATTTCAACTCCCATATAGCAAACCCTAGATCTCTCTCCTTTCTACCTCCCTCTCTTCTAGTCGGTTGATCGGCACCTTGCAATGGCGCCATCGGGAAAGGTGGGGCGGCTCGCTGTGATGGTGTCCTAGTTTTGTGACTATGGTGGTAATGGAGGTGTGCGGTTCTGTGGGAGGAACGAAGATCTCGGCGCGGTGCTGTACGCGATGGCTGTAGCGGCATGGTGATGGCACAGATCGAGACTGCAGTGATTTTATGTTTTTGGTGGTTTTAGGATTATTGTTGTGGCTACGGCGGTGACGACGGTTGTTGGCTCAGGTGGTGGAGGTGGGCGATCTGTGGTGTATTTGTGCTTATTTGTGTGAGTTCTGTGTGTATGGATCTGATAGTAGTAGTTGTGGTATTTTTGTTGACAATGTGTTGGATCTAGTGGTGGGGACATTGTTGGTGGTGGTGATCATTTGGTTGCTCTGTGGCCAATCATTGGTGGTGAATTGGGTTCGACAATGGAGTATTTGGTATATGTGACCAACGATTTGGCATGTGACCTTAAAATTTGACAATTTGTGACCTCAATGATTTGGTCTGTAACCGTGAAATTTGATAATCCATGACTAAAAAGTAATCTGTGACTTCAAAATTATTTGTAACCTATAACATTTTTTATATGTGACCAGTAAATATATTTGTAACAAATTAAATTGATGATATGTGATAAGCAAATAAATATGTGACCATTAATTATTTAATTGTGACTTTAATATATTTATTTAATAAATAATTTTAATTAATTAAATACAAACTTAAATTTTGAATTTTAAAACTTCTTACCTAATATTTGAAATGCTGTAAAGAGTACACCTGCAATATGAATTTTTCCCTTTATTTTATGATAAAAATTTATGGGCTTTGCATGTTGGGCTTGCTATTGGATTAATATTCAATCAAATTGCTGGACTTTATTTTGTGGAATTTTGGTGGGCTGAAAATAAAAAAGGATGCTGCCTAGGGACTTTAAGGAGAGAGATACAATTCGACAGCAATGGAGGAGAGGAGAATAAAAAAAAATTGACAGAGAAAATCATAGAAAAAGTCGGCTACTGTGAAAGAGAGAAGAGGGTTGCCTTGTTATTTAATTGATACATATATGTACCCACAGAAACACGAGGACGAGGGCAGCAGCTTGAGGGAAATTTCGAAGACAAAAATGGGGCTACCTGCTTTGGAGGAAGAGAAGAGAAGCCGACTGTTGAGTTTTATTATATATAGACAAAAAGGCAGCCAGAAATTGCAGGAAAAACCACAAATTACAAGAAGGGGCTGATGTTATTATATATATACACACATACAAAAAAGGTGGCAGACTGGGCACTTTTGTTGGAGTCAACTAAGGGGGCTGATTTTATATACATACAACAAACACAAGCTGAAATTCAGAAGGAAAAGAACAGAAAACAGAGACTTTAATAGGAAAATTAATCGCGTTCCGTCGATTCTCGGTGATCTCCTTTCTCTCTTATATGTTTAATTCCAACATTATGCTAGGCTAAAGCTTTTCATTTATTGGATGGATGATAAAATTGTTTAATTCTTAGTTTTAATTTGAAACCTATGTTTTTATCTTAATTATTGTATTGTGATTCCATTAATATGCCTATTCACATTGTTTTAATGTTTTCGCACCATTAGGGCAATAAGTTGCTTATTCATAATGTTAGAAAACTCACGATAGGTAGAACATTATTATTGGAACACACGGATAATAAAAGTTAGAAATAATATTTTTGGTGTGTGCGATCATTTGTGATAATCCTAAATGTAAATGCGTGTTTGCAATATGAATTCGAACTAGGAATAGGATTGTCTATGTTACATCCCATTTTATACAAGTTAAAAGTCAATATTATTTATTCAAAGTCAAAAGTTAGACTAGTCAAAGTCAAAGTCAATTATGGACTTAAATGAAATAAATTGTTTTACTGGGGTTTATTTTATATTTTAGATACTTGAGGATTTATAATGGACATCATTTAAATTGGAGGATTTATTTTATAAGTATGGAAAGTTTAATGGCCAGATTTTATACAAAACATAAAAGGAAGGACTTGAATAGCAAATATGGGAGTTAGGAGGACAAGTGTCATTGTAGAGGCCATTTTTTTTCATTTTCTATTCATATAGACACATACATCCAGAATGCTGAAATGGGAAAAAGAAGCTGAGAAAAATCGGTGAAAAATGAAACAGGAAGAAAGGAGAAAAAAAATAGAAAATAAAAGAAATTGGAGGTGCCGGCCAACGACGCATAGGAGGGAAGATACACTTCTTCAAGTATTGGGTTGTCTTTCAGATCCTCATTTCTTCTACAATCTCAAGTGAGTAAGTTTTATACAAACTTAGATTTCTTATTTTGGTTCAACAAGTGAAAAATAAACCTAATTTCTTGATGATCTAGTATGGATAAACTATTTTTTTTAAGCTTTTAAGTTATGTGAATCAAGTATATATTAATTTTGGGGTTGAAACTTTGTGGACCGAATTTCAGCTAGTAATTGGGTTAGAATTGAAATTTAAATAAAGAAACCAAAAGGCAAGTGAGGAATTGTCAATTAATGATTTGTTTGGTACCTGTATATGTATGTGTATAGTGACTGAAATTATTAAAAAGGGGACATACCTAATTACATAGCTTGATGCAAGTGTGGGAAGTTGTAAACTGGTGAAGAAAGAGATGAAATAGTATTTAATTGGAATTAAATCTAGCTCAAATGTGGTAAGTTTTTTTATGTAATTAATTTTATTATTACAGTAGCAATGAAAAGGTACAAGATGGAAAGTGTAGATACAAGATGTTGGAAGGCAGTATGTTATTGTGCTAATGTAGTAGGGAAATGAATGTGGAAGAAGAACATATTCTATAAATAAATTGGGCTTCGTAAACAAAAAAATTGTTCTGCTATATGAAAATTAAAAAAAGGGATTGCATAAGGAATGGATTAAGTTGTGTAAAGCGGTTATATATTTATAAGGTAGTGATCTTAAGAAAGTATAGTAATTTAATGGATTTGATTATGTGTTGTGATAGTTTGGTAAATAATCAAAGAGAATAAGAGTTGGACAAATAGAGGTGAAGGTAAACATGGAAGCCGAGGAATTATGTGGTGGATTAGCATTGATTTAATTGGCAAGTTTTAATTTGAGTAATTATACCGTTATTTCAGGTAGTGACGTGCAAGCTTGAAAATGCTCGTCAATTTAATCAAATTTCTATCCATAGATCGGTGAGTGGAAAAATATAAATATTTATAAAGTATTTATAAATTAAGTATATTGTTAAAGTATGTGCAATTATGTGTTCGAATTATATGGTTATTATGGAAATATCTTTCATTATGATACATGTGGGATTTCAAAAATTGCATACAGTACATTGTGAATTATGTGATATTGAGACCGGCCAAAAAAGCACCCATGATTATATACTTCTTCTAGTTCACAGAGGGGTCTTGACCGTGTTCTATCCTACACGGAGGGTCTTGACCTGACATTGGTCTTGGTCATGTACATATAGTTCACAGAGGGGCCTTGACCGTATTCTAGAATTGATTATGAGAGATCTTTGAGACCGACTTTCGTTTACGGAGGGGCCAAAGGCCTGTGGCGAAATTTTTTTGCCCGAGGGATGGATTATATATTTCAGTCAGAGGGTACATTTTTGGTGGATTTTTCAGTATGTTTGATGTGATGAGATTATAGCATGATTATCAGCTGATGTCTATATCATGATTTTGAGATGATATTTTATGACCTTATATGAATATTTCATTTTTGGTTATAATTACATGATGTTAATTTGTGAATTATTAAATTATATGAACTCTATTTTGGATAGAAATGTAAAATTGAAAAAGTATAATTATTTTCGAATTGCTCTACTCACTGAGTTATCAACTCATATATTTTTCCACAATTTTTCCTACAGGTGGAAATTGTTTCTTTTTAACTGGAAGAGCCTAATGATTTTGGAATGAGAGCCACACGAAATGTTGAGTGTTATAACTCATTTTGATTAAGCACGAAGTAAATATTTTGGGCCCATCGCATTGTATTTTATATAAGCATTTGATTTTATTGTATATTTTTCAAAATAACTCATAGTCAGTTTTGGTGATAAATTTGACATCTAGTCAGCATCTATCATCGGCGCACGTCAAGTTTCGAGTCCACTAGGGTTATTCGGGACGGGTCGTGTCAGTCTCGTGATAACCATAGGTTTATTATATCTCGAGGAAGAATAATAAATAAATGTGGAATTATCGATTATCGCAATTGCATGAATTGAGATAATTATCACTGGTTGAAAATTAAAACTAAGAATTAATCAATGAAGTCGGAAATCCAATACGTTCGCACATTTGATTTTTAAACCAACTTTCATTATTTTTACAAGTTTTAGTTATAAAAATTATTTAGCTATTCATTCGATCGTCTTTTGGCTACAAATACGAATTTAAATATATCAAATATACAAAAATTGAACATTATTCCCTATGGGACAATAACTCTCTCATCACAATTATTAATTGTACAACGAACTTGCACAATTGCAGAATTTTGACGAAAAAGTATTTGGCGCCGTTATCGGGGAATAACGGTGTTAATTTTATTTATTAGATATTTTAAATTTGTTTTTATTTTTTTTATTTCATTTTTAGTTGTTGTTTTAAGGCTACCATTACACCGCTTAATTCTCTTGTGTTTTGACACTTTTTAGACGACTTTAGTTTATGCAAAATCTTGACCAGCCAAATCTCTTTTTGATAATGGCTGATAATCAGAATCAACCACAGAATCAGGTTCAACTTCACGAGCCAATACCGCAGCCAAATCAATCGAGAGTTATCTAGAGCAAAGCTCCTGTCTTAGTTGGAGATAACGTCAATCCAATTCCTGCACCAGTGCAACTTACTGTGGTATATTTTCCCTCCGAACAACCTAATTTTCACCTCAGATCAGATGTCATCAATTTGTTTCAAAATCACCAAAACATCAGGTTTTTTGGAAAAGCCACGAAAAATCCTTATGAGCATATTTCTGCTTTTCTCTCTTTTTTTTTTTAACGAGGTGTCCCGGCTTGCGCCAGACTATATCCTCGTCCCTGAACCTCCGGCCCCTCAGCAGCTCAGGGAGGTAAATCGCGGGATGTGCCCTTGTTGGTTCCCAGATTCCCACATGGCTTTTACTCCTTCCCCAAAGGGAGCCTTCCTCCATAGTGATTAATCCACCAATAATTCCTCTTTTATTGGATCAAAGGTTCCCACTAGGAATCGAACTCCCCACACTTGGTTCCAGAGCCCCCCAATGTGATTTTTCCGCCAACTTGGATGTGCCCCGGGGGGCTTATTTCTGCTTTTCTCTTGTTATGTGAAGTGATCGACAACGAAGGGATATCAGCAAATGCATTTTGAATGCGATTATTTCCTCATACCTTAAAGGACGCTACTAGAGAATGGTTCCTCTATTTACTACCAGGGAGCATTCAATCATGGAAGTATATGGTTCAAAAATTCACAATGAAATTCTTTCCACCTTCTTGAGTTCACCAAATCAGGAATGGCATCCACACCTTCAAGCAAAAAGATCTCGAGAGCTATCCTGAGGCATGGGAGAGGTTCAAGATTTTTTTTCAAAAAATGCCCCAGCATTGACATTCCTAAGCAGGCTCAGCAATATCTTTTCTACTATAGTCTAAAACAAGAGTTCAATATGATAGATACTTCAACGGGAGAATCGGTTGTGAAACTTGATGTCGATGAGACCTATGATTTGTATGAAAAAATAGCTGAAAATGAATCGATGTGGCCAATCGATAGGGAAGCTTCGAGGAAAATATTAGGGTTAACAACATGGATGCAATAATAGCACTGGCTGTGCAAATTGAAGTGCTTACAATAAAAATGGACAATCTGTCTAAATCAGTTAACATGGTACACCAATCGCCACCTGTTTGAGAAGGCTGTGGAGTAGACTATGCCAGTGCACTCTGCCCTTTAGCGTCTACGCATGGTAATCAGTCTAAAGAAGTAAACTATACGCAGAACTTTTAGAGACAGCAAAATAATCTCTTCTCCAACACATATAATCCGGGTTGTAGGAGCCATCCAAATTTTTCATGGTCCAATAATCAGGGACAAGAACAGGGAGGAAGCAATCAAAATAAACCACCAGGGTTCCAACAGCAACAACAGCAAGGAAGAAAGCTATCGTTGGAAGATTTGCTAGCTCAATATATTACTAAAATTGTGACTAACTTTCAGAACCAACAAGCTTCGATCAAGAATTTGGAAAAACAGGTTGGAGAAATTGCAGCTGCACTATAGATAGAGCTCAAGGGACATTGCCTAGCAATACTGAAACCTAAGGAGCAGGTCAAAGCAATCAGTACAAGTAAAGGCGTCCAGTTACTAGAAATACATATAAAGCAGCCAGCAACTGTCATAGAAAAGGTACCTACCACGGGCGAGGAGCAAGTCGATGAATCAGACAAAGCCACAAAGGAAAATCAAGTTGAGTCATCAGATAGTCCACAGGTAAAGGCAACTCCTGTCAAAGCATATGTACCTTCGATTCCATTTTTACAGAGATTGCAAAAACATAAGCTCGATAAGCAGTTCCAGAAATTTTTGGATGTGTTCAAGAAACTGCACATTAACATACCATTTGCTGAAGCTTTAGCTCAAATGCCCAGCGACGCCAAGTTCATGAAAGATATTTTATCAAACAAGAGGAAGTTGGAGGACAATGAAACAGTTATGCTTACTAAGGAGTGCTTTACAATTCTCCAACATAAGTTACCGTCGAAGTTAAAAGATCCACAGAGTTTTATTATTCCTTATAACATTGGTAACTTATATATAGATAAAGCATTATGTGATTTAGGAGCTAACATTAATTTAATGCATTATCTCTTTTCAGGAAACTAGGTTTGGGAAAAGCAAAATCGACAACAATTTCACTACAGTTGGTTCACAAGTCGATCAAGCACCCTCGAGGTATTTGTAAAGATATTTTGGTGAAGGTCGACAAGTTTATCTTCCCAGTGAACTTCATTATTCTGAATACGGAGGAAGATAGGGATATCCCCCTCATATTGGGTGGTCCATTTTTGCTGCAAGAAGGGCTCTGATAGATGTGCAAAAGGGTGAGTTGATATTGAGGTTAAATGAAGAAGAACTGACAATCAACGTATTTAGAGCTTTCAGATTTCAGAGCAAACAGAATTCTTGCATGCAGATTGATGTAATAAAAGAAGCGGTGTCAGAGACATTCAAACTAGATCACCCTCAGGATCCGTTTGAGGAGTGTTTTGTGCATTCTCAAAATTTACCATCAAAAAAAGAGGAAACACAAGAATGTGCTCATTATTTGGCAGCTATACCACCATTCTTCAAGCAACCATATTTAGAGCTCGGTGAAAGACCCACAACTCATTTACTATCTATACAGCAAGCTCCAGCTCTTGAACTCAAACAACTGCCCACTCATCTTCACTATGCGTATTTGGGGAAAAGAATTTGCTCCCAATAATTATCTCGAACAATCTAATAGAATTAGAGGAAGATCGGTTACTAAGGGTATTTCGAGAGCACAAGACAGCAATAGGATGGACAATATCAAACATAAAAGGGATCAGCTCTTCGCTTTGCATATACAAGATATTGATGGAAGATGATTACAAAGCTTTAGTTCAGCATCAACGCATATTAAATTTGACTATGCAGAAAGTGGTAAGAAAAGAAGTATTAAAGCTTTTGGATGCAGGGATCATCTATCCCATATTGGACAACCATTGGGTTAGTCTAGTATAAGTAGTTCCGAAAAAAGGAAGAATCAAGGTAATTCCAAATGAAAATAACAACCTCATCCCTATGCGTATAGTCACGGGTTGGAGAGTTTGTATTGATTATTGCAAACTCAATAACGACACAAGGAATGATCACTTTTCCCTTCCTTTCATTGACCAGATATTGGAGAGACTCGCTGGACATGCTTACTACTGCTTTTTGGATGGCTATTCGGGGTACAACCAGATTCCTATAGTGCCAGATGATCAAGAGAAGATGACCTTTACATGCCCTTATGGCACTTTTCCTTATAGGAGGATGCCTTTTGGTCTTTGCAACGCTCCTGCCACCTTTCAGTGTTGTATGATGTCTATTTTCTCGGACATGATGGGAAATATCATTGAGGTAATTATGGATGATTTCTCAATATTTGGAAAATCATTTAAGGAGTGCCTTGAACATTTGGGAAAAGTGTTGCAGCGATGTAAACACACAAACCTTGTATTAAATCGAGAAAAATGTCATTTCATGGTTCAGGAAGGGATTGTGTTAGGACATCTGATTTCAGCACGGGGTATTGAGGTGGATAAAGCTAAGATACAAGTCATCGAAAAACTACCACCGACGGTAACAGTGAAGGAAGTTAGAAGTTTTTTGGGTCATGATGGGTTCTACGTCGCTTCATCAAAGACTTTTCCAAAATCTCGAAGTCATTATGCAATTTATTGGAAAAAGGTGCTCCATTTCACTATTCTGAGGAGTGCTTGATTGCTTTCAACACTTTAAAGGAAAACTTGGTCTCTGCTCCAGTGTTAGCTCCTCCAGACGAGGATTATTTGTTTGAGCTTATATGTGATGCCAGTGATCATGTAGTGGGGACAGTGTTGGGTCAATGTAAGGAGAAATTTCTCATGTTATTCACTATGCCAGTAAGACTTTGGACGAGACTCAAATGAATTATGCTACGACAGAGAAAGAGCTTTTAGCAATTGTGTTCGCTGTTGACAAATTCAGATCATATTTGATTGGGTCAAAAGTGATTCTCTACACTGATCATTGAGCTCTGAAATATCTAATGAGCAAGAAAGACGCAAAGTCGAGACTTATTCGATGGATACTCCTATTACAAAAATTTGATTTGGAGATCAGAGATAAAAAAGAGAGGGAGAACGTTGTTGTAGATCAGCTATCTCGCCTTGAATCATATGAGTCACACCCTATGGAGGAGATCAATGAAGTTTTCCATATGAGATACTTTTTCAGATCATTACTACGCCATCGTATGTGAACTATGTAAATTATTTGGATCGCTCTATCATCCCACCAGACTACTCGAGTCACCAAAAGAAGAAATTCTTCAGTGACCTAAAACACTACTTTTGGGATGATCCAATTCTTTATAGAAGGGTTCCAGATTAGATCATAAGTCGTTGTGTACCAGAGGTAAAGTAGCATCAAGTATTGGAGTCATGTCACTCCGCACCGTATGGGGGCCACTTTGCAGCAGCAAAGGTACTACAATCGGGTTTTTATTAGCCTACGTTGTTCAAGGATGCACATTATATGGTGAGACATTGTGATAAGTGTCAAAGGATTGGAGATATCTCAAGGAAGAATGAGATGCTTTAAACAACATTTTGGAAGTTGAAATTTTCGACGTTTAGGGCATTGACTTCATGAGACCATTCTCTCCATCCTATGGTCAACAATATATACCGGTGGCAATGGACTACGTGTCTAAGTGGGTTGAAGCTGTAGCTTTACCAATGAACGACGATGGATTGGTAACTCAATTCCTGAAGAAGAACATTTTTACTCGATACGGGACCCCAAGGGCGATTATTAGTGATGGTGGAAAGCATTTTTGTAACCGCCTATTTGTTTCATTGTTGGCCAAATATGGAGTGAAACATCATGTCTCGACTCCATACCATCCTTAGATTAGTGGGCAAATGAAAATCTCCAACAGGGAGTCAAAGAAGATTCTCGAAACTACGGTCAATACATCACGTAAAGATTGGGCTAAGAAATTGGACGACGCACTTTGGACATATAGAATAGCATCTAAGACTCCAATTGGCATGTCTACATATCAGTTGGCATTTGAAAAGGCTTGTCATCTACCGGTTGAGTTAGAACATAAAGCATACTGGACGATACAGTTACTCAATTTCAATATGAGGGCAGCAGGAGAAAAGAGGGTCCTACAACTTCATGAGCTCGATGAGTTTCGTTTGGATTCGTGTGAGAATGCAAAAATTTATAAAGAAAATACGAAGAGATGGCATGACAAGCATATAAGGGAGAAGGATTTTGAGGTTGGTCAGCAAGTATTGATGTTCAACTCATGCCTCAAGCTCTTTCCGGGAAAGCTAAAGTCTATGTGGTCGGGTCCATTCACAGTAGTAGCTGTGTTTCCACATGGTGTTGTGGAAGTGGTGTCTCAAGATCAACAAAGGAGGTTCAAAGTAAATGGACAACGGTTAAAAGCTTATTGGGGAAGTGACTACGCCAGTGAGAAAACAATCATGCTACCTGACAATGTAGAGTAGCCAGGACAACAAAGTCTAGCTAAAGACTATAAATCAAGCGCTTATTGGGAGGCAACCCAATTTTTAAACCTTTTATTTATTTTGTTTTCTGCATTGTATTGCATATAGACTCGTTTTGATTATTAGGTTGCATTAGATTTAGACACCTTTACATATTTAGAGCATCATCATTCTATCATGTTTTCGCTAAGGCCTTTAAATTAAATGTTGGTTACTTCGAGTGTTTGGGCTAAGTAACACGTGTTCTAGATTATTTGATCTCTAATGTTTGATTTGATTGCCATATGCAGAAACATTACGTTGTGAAACACTCAAACCAACATAAAACGAGGGAAAAGTATGATGAAGAAGATTGTCTAGCCGTTACCCATAGTCCTTTCCACACGCAACAAAAAATTCTGGGGAGTACCTTCGTTCTTTTCTTCCCCATCCCTTTACATTCTTAATTATGTTTTAAAACTTTGAGAACAATGTCAGGTTTAAATTTGGAGGTGGAAAACACTTTGTGACATTGTTTTCGTATGTTTTTGTGCGTTATTTTCGTATGTTTAATTAAAAATCAAAAATTGTTGTGTGTGTTAAGTTAAAAACCAAAAAAAAAAAAAAATCATTAAATTTTTATTTTTTATTTATTTTTGGCTCTACTTGTGTGGGTTAGACGGTTTGGCTGACAATGATGATTAAAATTGAGATTTGATGTTGATTTATGAACTGTGGATATGATGCATGCTAGACTGATTGAAACTTGAACTTGCAGAACTTGATATTATACATGCACTAGAATTGAGTTTGACATTATGATGAAATGAGTTGATTCATACACTTGATAGATTGAATTAGTTGGACATAGATGCTTTACCCAAACCATACTAATTAATTATTCTTAGACCAAGTTTAGCACAATTTGGGAAGATCTTACTGTTGTAGGAAAATACGGATGTGAATATGGATTCCTTGTGTGAAAAATTTTGTGTGGATTGTCTGAAATTAACAGGATAAAATTAGATGAAAGTCTTAAATTGGAAATCGGTTTGTTTGAATATGTGTATGATAAGGGGCATTGCACTAATCAAGGCATATATTTATAAATTTTAAATTTTTCTTTGGAGCCTTTATGACTTGAGCAATTAAGCCTGCAAGGGTATCTTAAAACCTGATGCCCTAAAGTCATCTGACTTGGGAGTCATCAGCCTAAAGCTCGTTACATGGGTCATTTAAAAAGCATCCAGACATAAAATTGTCCTAAAAAATTGTTCTCTTCGAAGACTTTTTTACGCGGGTTATTAAGCCTATAAGGGTATATAAAAACCTGATGCCCTAAAGTCATCTGATTTTGGAGTCATCGCTCTAAAACCTGCTACATAGGTCATCTATAAAGCCTAAGGGAGAGCGTGGAAAAAAAAAACCACTAAATGCCTTGTAAGTCCCAAACACTTGTTCGAGGAAATTTAACTTTTGATGAAGGATAATTAGCCTAATTGAATCTTGACAATGGAAGCAATCAAATAATTGGAGAATCGTTGTTCATTGATGTGTTGATTTGCAACTAGTTACATCCACCTGAATTGGAGAGGTGAGTATAGTAATAAAAATTGAATTTTAGATCACACATTGGGAAAAAAGTGAAGAAGAATAAGTTTGGGGTATGTGAATCTTACGAGAGATGAAAAGATATATTTGACCATAGAGGGTTGGGAATCGAAACAAGTTGTGAATTCTTTAATATCGACTTAGTTCTTCACACACACATGTCGGTTTTGCATTGAAAAAGTGGATATTAATTTGGTATTGTCACTTTGAAGCAGTTTGTAGATTTAATGCCGTCATTTCAAATCTTGAGGTAAAAAGTTAAACAGTCCAACCAAATATTTTTGCATGTTTGTGTGTTTGTTGTTATTTAGGTTATAGTTTTGTTCGAGGACGAACAAAGGTTTAAGTTTAGGGATGTTTGATAAATGTAATTTGTGTACTTATTTAGGCCATTTTATTAAACATTTATGTCGTGAAATTATTGAATTTTATTTAATTTGGGTTAATTTTTGTTCGTTTTAGTGTTCGACCCGTTTTGAAGTATTTGGAAAAGGATGAAAGATTAATTGGCTATTTGATGCAAAGTTTAGTGATCAATTCCGCACTTTGAAATTTGAAGACTTGGAGAAATAATACCTTATTTTGGGCCTTGGACCAACTGATAAAATGAAAGGAATTAATTTGGACTTGGATTTATTTTAGAGTAAATTACACTGTCCCACGGCTTTCAAGTTCACTGTGCATAAATCATGGGCCCAACTTTTCTAATCAAATATTCGGTATAGCCCTGACCCTAAATTGAAATTCATTTCACCCCATCCTTCACTCTCTCTTCCTCCTGTCTTTCGCTCAGTCTCTCTCTCTCTCTCCATCCATCTCTCTATCCTCTCCATCACATGAGCAGCCACCGTCATCGGAGACCACATCGTCATAGCAATAACCTCCTCCGAACATGTGAGCGTCGTTGTACAGTAGCACGCAATGCTGACATCGCTGCAGATAACGCGAAGAGCGATGATGATTGCCATCACTCGAAGCAGATGCGACATACAATCGGAGCTCGACATGGTTGTCGATTGGTTATCAAATCAAATTCATGACCTCGACCTTCTTTTACGTTTAGTAGGTAGTGATTTTGGGTGTTATTTCTTTCGCTTTTTGATCTGTAGGTAGTGATTTTGGGGTTTTGTTGGTTGTATTTTCAGATCTTGGCCGTGGTTGTGGTGGTGATGTTGGTAGTAGGATTTGATTGTTGGTGGTTTTGGGGGGGATGTGGTTGTAATGTTGTTATGGTGGTGGTCGTGGTAGTGGTGGCAGTGGTTGTGGTAGTGGTGGGACGTCATGGGCTAGGAGTGTTTGTTAGTGGTTGTGGTGGTGTGGTGGTGGTAGTGCAGTGATGGTGGTGTTTTTGGTTAGTAATACTGATGGTGTTGGTGAGTTTGGGAGGTGGTGTATTGTTGGAGGTGTTTTCTGGCTATCGTGGTGGTCCTGGTGGCTGCTGGCTGCGATAGTTTATAGTGGTGGTTGTGTTGTTGGTGTTGGTGGTGGTGTTGTGGTGGTGGATGTGATGGTGGTGTTGTGATCGAATGTTGGATGTCTGTCTGTGACCAACTATATGGTCACGTCTGTGACTATGACCGTAAACTGTGACATTAAAATTCGATCATTTGTCATTAAAAAGTAATTCATGACCATCAAATTTGAAAATATGTGACATGTGACCTATAATTTTTTGAATTTGTGACCAATAATGTGAGCTGTGACCTACAAAATTTTTGATCTGTGACCAATGAAATAATCTGTGAACTCCAAAATTTTTGATTTGTAATCTCAAAATAATCTCTGACCTACAAAATTTTTTGATTTGTGACCTTGAAAAAATCTTTAACAAATTAATTCGATGAAATGTGATCGATAATTATGAATCTGTGATCATTAATCGTGTAACTGTGACTTTATTATATTTAATTAATAAATATTTTCAATTAATTATATAGAAACCTAAATTTTGAATTTTTAAACTTTATACCAAATTTATGAATTGATGTAAATAATACCCCTGAGTTGTGATTTTTACCCTTTATTTTAAGATAAAAAATTATGAGCTTTGCATGTTGGACTTGCTATTGGATTAATATTCAATCAAATTGCTGGACTTTATTTTGTGGACTTTTGGTGGGCTGGAAATAAAAAAGGAGGTTGCCTAGGGATTTTAAGGAAAGAGATACAATTCGACAGCAAGGGAGGAGAGGAGAATAAAAAAAAAATTGACAGAGTAAACAATAGAAAAAGTCGGCTGCTATGAGAGAGAAGTGGGTTGCCTTGCTATTTAATTGATACATATATATACCCACAGAAATTTTGGAGACAATAATTGGGCTACCTGCTTTGGAGGAAGAGAAGAGAAGCCGATTGCTGGGTTTTATCATATATAGACAAAAAGGCAGCTAGAAATTGTAGGAAAAACCACAAATTACAAGAGGGGGCTGCTGTTATTATATATATATACACACATACAAAAAAGGTAGCAGAGTGGGCACTTTTGTTGGAGTCAACTAAGGGGGCTGATTTTATATATATACAACAACACAAGCTGAAATTTGGAAGGAAAAGAACAGAAAACGAAGACTTTAATTGGAAAATTAATCACGTTCCGTCGATTCTCGGTGATCTCCTTTCTCTCTTATATGTTTAATTCCAACATTATGCTAGGCTAAGGCTTTTCATGTATTGGCTGGATTACAAAATTGTTAAATTCTTAGTTTTAATTTAAGACCTGTGTTTTTATTCTTGTATTTGTGATTCCATTAATATGCCCATTTACATTGTTTTAATGTTTACGCACCATGAGGACAATAAGTTGCTTATTCATAATGTTAGAAAACTCACGATAGGTAGAACATTATTATTGGAACACACGGATAATAAATGTTAGGAATAATATTTGTGGCGTGTGCGATCATTTGTGATAATTCTAAATGTAAATGCATGTTTGCAATATGAATTCGGATTAGAAATATGATTGTCTCGTGGTAACCATATGTTTATTATATCTTGGAAAAGAATAATAAATAAATGTGGAATTATCGATCGTTGTAATTTCATGAATTGAGATAATTATCACTGGTTGAGAATTATAACTAAGAATTAATCAATGACATCGGAAATCTATTACGTTCGCACATTAGATTTTTAAAAAACCAACTTTCATTATTTTCACAAGTTTTAGTTATAAAAATTATTTAGCTATTCATTCGATCGTCTTTTGGTTACAAACACGAATTTAAATATAGCACATATACTAAAATTGATCATTATTCTTTGTAGGACGATAACTCTCTCATCACGATTATTACTTGTACAACCATCCCGTACGCATACGGGATTTTGACGAACAAGATACATGGAATGACATTTGGAAAGTTAAAAAGTTGAAAATTTTCAAAATTGGTAGAATATGCAAAAGCCTGAACTAGCAACATTTATGAAACAATACCAGGCATCCAAAATTAATGACATTTTGGAAAGTGAAAAAGTTAGCCTGTAAACTAATAACCAATTTATGCAACAGCAAGAATCTCTTTTAGTTGGCATCCAAAGTTTATCATCCACTAATTACATTCATCCATGTAATTACATTTAGCCAAAAGCTTACACCAAAACATCCAGAAACCATCATCTACCAATCACATTCATACATGTAATTACACTTAGCCAAAAGCATAAACCAGAAAATCCAAAAACCACCATCTACTAATTACATTCAGCCAAAAAAGTACACCAAAAACCATCTGCCAACCATCCAAAAAAACCCCCAGAATGTTGAAATCAGTCCAATTGAGTGGGCTGTCCAACACTTTCTCTGTCCGGAGTCAATTTTCTTCCAGACAATAATTCCTTTGAGGATGGGTATTCCAAGTCAATATCTTCATCCACATTTTGCATGTACATGTCATCATTCTCATACGTATGATATTCATTATAACGGACGACGGACAATAAAATCCGGATCGTCCTCCCACCCTGTCACCATTGTTAGGAAATATGTAATTGGCAAATCTGTGACCAAGGACCAAAATGTAATAATTGTAAAGTCAAGGATTAAAATGTCATAATTGTAAGGTCAAGGACCAAAGTGTCAAATGTCCAATAGTTCAAGGACTTGAGTTGCAATTAATCAAAGTGTTGAAGGCTAGGTCTAGGGTTGTGATGGATGCCTCGAAGTTGCAAACGGCGCGAGATTTCGCTAGAGTCACGCCATGATCTCGCTCGAGCCACGATTGCAGAACCACTGTCGCTAGATCCTCGCCAGCAGGTCGCTCGAGCGAAGTGGACGTTGCTCGAGTCACGCTGGTCCCTCGCTCGAGCGACCTATTTATCTGGGCAACATTAAATTTAAAAGCTCGCGAATTTTTGACGCGCCACAAGACCATATGTTGAGCC